AGACTTATCAGGTAGTAGTTTAATTGGATCAGTACCTGATTTTCTATCTGGTTGTTATCAATGATCATCCTGTTAAGTGACTTGAATAAAAAAATTAATTGCTGAACTTTTTGTAATTAAGAAAATAACAAATCCCATTATTTATTGACATAAGTGAGAACATCTCAGAGGCGGAGTTCTAGCTAAGCTACTTAAAAACCAGAGCAGGGTTTTGTTATCACTAAAGTTCGTTTCTCATAATTAGAAACCATATTGACCTGACTTACGATTTATGCAATTGCTGTAGAAATTCAAACAAATCAGGATATGGAAAGAGATCACTATTTATAATGTTCAAAGATGCAAGATATTAGGTAACTCAACTATCCAATAAACGTAATATATGTGGTTAAATTACGTTTTGTTAATTCTCTGATTATTTAATATTCAGATTTTCTTCTATTTCTTGAGCTGATTGCATCTGTAATTCTTTAATTCTCTCGTATTATTGATCTTTTGCATATTTTGATTTGCTTGATAATGGGAGCTGAGTTCTTTATTTTCTACAATTGCTTCTAGTTTTAAAAATCTACATGTTTGGATTACGTTTGTTAAAAACAATTATTCAATTTATTCGGATTCAGTTTGTTTAAATGATAAATTATTCGCATTCGATTCATATTCAGTTCAATTAAGTTAAACGAATTTATTTGTGAATATTAAATGAACATGTTCATAAACATATATAAATGAATATATTTATAAATAATAAATAAATCATAATCAAATAAATATATACAAAAAAATTTTAAATAAATATAAATTAATCTTAAAATAAGATTAGAATAAATGATAAAAATATAATTTTATTAGTATTATTATAATCGAATAATAAATGAATAATAAGTTAATAAATTTTAAATGAATTTATTCGTAAACACAAATGAATCAAATATATTTTTGTTCAAATTTAATTCATTTAATAAATGAATATAAAAAATATTATTAAAAATTATTTGTTAAAATTAATAAATGAAAATAAACGAATAGAAATCAAATATGTGTACAAATAATTTATCGAAAATTTTATTTATTTACACTTTAACAACTTAAAAGGAAAATAAAAATGGAAAAAGTGTTTTGGTTAAGTAATAATTCTTCTAAGTGGATAACAAATTAAAGTATTTGATTTGTTAATAACTTACTCTTAATTTTAATCTCGAAAGAAATTCGACAACAATTTTAATTTAATACAATATCCAATTAAATATTTTTTAAAACAACGGGGCACTTCTCTAACCTCTCTCTATTATGATGCTTATATTTTTTCACTTATAAATACTAATCTCATTTAGGGTGCATTTATATGCTCGAGTATGATATCATATATATGTATATATATATATATATTAAATTTTAATTTATTTATTTTGTTTAATATTAAATTATTTAAATAACATTTATGACTGTAATAAGCACAATTTTTTAGAGATTAAATATTTTAAGGTAATTTTCTAATTTTTAATATTTAAAATTAATTTTATTAATAAAAATATTATTTAAATATAAAATAATTTTAATAATATTTAATAATTTATTAACTTAACAAATATCATATGTATATATACATACTATAAATTCTATCATATGTAAATTTTAATTGAATATCTTAATGATTTTTTTTTTTATTATACTTGACTTGCGTCCGAACAACTATCAGCACCATTAATTTTATTCTTACCCTACAATAAATAATTTTATTTTATTGCAACCATTATTTTCACGCTTATCGAAGCTACACTTACCATGCTTCCAAACAAATCCTCGCTCTTTCATATTCATTGAAACTCAAAATTCATCAAAAATTGAGAATTCTCAGTTCTCGTAACCTGCAATTTCCCAATTGAAGGCGGATTGGCAAAACTGCAAACACAAGTTTTCACTTTGACCATGAACGATTTAACTATCTCTCAAGCCGTTTACCCGGAACTCAAAACCACATGCAGGCTGAATTACTCAGGCAGCAACTTCCACATCTGGAAAATCAAACTAGATCTTGTCCTGAGGGAAAACGAAGTCTTGTATGTCCTAACTGAACCAAAACCCTCCAAGGACAATCCAGACGACGTTGCCTCACACGATGAATGGGTCGATGACGACTTCAAGGCTCGCCACATTATCCTGGGAACCCTCGATGACAACTTTTACTTGACGTATCATCAACACGAGACAGCCAAGGCCATGATGGACGCTCTGACCAGGTTTTTCACGAGGCCTTCAATGGGGAAACGGCTTATGCTTTTCAGGCGGTATTTGAATCACAGAATGAAGGACGGGATGAGCATCAATCAGCACATTCTTGAGATGAATCGTATGGCTAAGGACTTGGAGTTGCAAGGTCTGAGACTACCTGAGGACGTGCACGCTGGGGTTTTGATGGAGAGTTTACCGAAGTCGTGGGAAGATGTGGTGTCGTCGATCAATATGAACTTGGCGAGAGATGAAGAGGCGTTGGGGTTGGACAATGTTCGCCAGAAGTTGTTAGATGCTGGGGTTTGGAAGGAGTTGAGAAGGGCTCGTAATGATGAAGAGAGCCATTCAAGGGTTAGTTCAAGAGGAGGGTTTAAAGGAAAATGTAACAATTGTGGGGAATTTGGACATGGTAAATCTGATTGCCTCAATTAATTAGGTACTTTCATGATTCCATCTTCGAGTAATAATTAACTTTTTGTTATTCAGAGATATATAGTTTTGGTTTCAACACAAAAAACACAGGCAAATGGATCGAAAACAAGTATGCCTTAAAGTTTTCTTCTTTACTCTCTTCTGTTCTTCTGTTTTTGTTGTCTAACTTTTCTTTTCTTTTCTTTCCATCCTATATAAGCAAAAGTATTATCCTAAAAAACAACTAGATTGGTTTGAGATGCCAAATGAACAAATATAAGACAAAGAAATAAGCATCCAAGACCAATCAAATTGGGTTTGCAAGCCAACATTCATCATATTGAAAGAAAATCTTTGCGACTGATATTGATTTTTTGACCCTTCTGCTGCCTTCATGTTGATTCAATTGTAGCTATTGCTGCCAAGTCTAGTTTTTGTTTCCTATGTACGTATCTTCTGCAAATGATTTTGTGAATATGAACTGACTTGAACTTATTTTAATCCTATATATGTTAAATCCAACTGAATTCAAAAGTACTGACCAGTTTGGAAAAGCAGTGAACTATTCCTACTTAATACCATGATTTTTGTTGTTTAAAGTAATGAGCTCATACTTAATGTCACTATTCTTGTTAATTCTGGGTTTCATTTCTTTGTTAACTTACTGAATTTAGTTTACCATGTATTTTGGTTCAGCATTCTCAATTCCTTGTTCATTGATGAGGGACAAGCAGTGGGCTGAAGATAATAGTTCAGTTGATGTTGAATTGGTGATGCATAGGTTTTCCTACTATAAGTTGCTGGATTAGTCTTCTAGTTGTCAATTAGTTGGATGGTTTTTCTCACTGGAAGCTCTATTTTGAACGTGATCTGCTATTGTTGGTTCACTCAACTCTTTCTTACATAGAACTTGTTATAATTACAACAATTTTTATACATGTTTTGGCCGGCATTCTATGCTTTGTTTATATTGTTCAATTCTTAGAGTTGACATTGATATTGAATCCCTTGTGGCTGAGCAGAGGAGTTTGTGCTTGTTCACTCTGCCATCCTTCCTTGTTGTCGATACGAGAATGACCATTGTTAGACTACCCCTTGGAAGATATTCCTAATCAGGTAACAGTTTACTCTGATAATGGTGAGGTGGGGAATGTACATGCATTAGTTATCTGAAAGTGGAATGTCAAATCCTGAAATATCATCCTATCAAATGTCAGAGTAAACTTTCATGCCTGAAGAAAGAATGTATTCACATTCCATAATTTACTCTCCAATGTTACAACCGTCTAAACATTCATGTTTAGGCCACTTATGTTGTCAACGGTTGACAGACTTGAGATAGCAATGTCAATTCCTTATCTGGTAACCGGTCTAAAATCTGCCGCATTCCGTTTCATGAATCAAGCCAAACGTTAGCATTATCGATCTGATCCCATTTAGGAATTAGGATTGTGGTTTCAGATCTCAGCTCCTCCAAAAGCGGAAGATCAATTGAATTGGAGAATAGCTCTGATGCAGAGTACTAAAAACAAAAAAAAATTATATAAATAATAGCCTTGGGAATTAAAATTTAAAATGCTCCTAAATCAGAAACGATTTTAAAAACTACTGTTAGAAAGAAAAGTCTAGTCGGTTAGGATATTCGGCTCTCACCCGAAAGACCCGAGTTCAAGTCGGCATCGGAATATCAATTTTGCTCTACTGTTAAACGCCCCTTGTTCTCTCTCTTTCCATTTTTTCTTTTTTAATATTAACGCCATCTTCTCCTTTATGTTACACAAATTCAATCAATTAATATAAAGAGCAATTTTTTTTTATCACATTGAATATCAGTCGTTATTTGAGAGCTCAATTGGTCCAAAATTTGAATTTCCCTTTGTAAGTTATATTAAAGCAAGTAAAAGACAATCAGGAAGTATTAAACATCAGTTACGTAAGAAACACAAATACTCTGCTGTCTACTGGGAACCCAAAAGCTCAGTTGAAATCAGAGTTCCATCGACTATGATGACGCCTCTCCTTAAGAGATGTAATCAAATAAAGGGACAAGCCAGAAGGCCAGAACCAACCTGCAATCTCAACCCCCCACCCCCCATCATTTCTCAACTTCTTCCACCAGATTTCTTCCTTTCTTTCCCCTTTTTGCCTTTGATAGAAATTTAACACATGACCAAGAAAGTGAAAGACAGATGGAACATAACATACAGTTCAAATGAATTGGAAAGCTTCTGTAAATTCGATATTTCTTCTTAAATGTTGCCTCCGATTTTCCATCAAGTATGAACTACCTCTATCTCAAATTAATGGCCCAGTTCACCTAAACAATGTTAAATATTCCCAACAAATTCTGAAACAGATGAGGAGAAAGGTTGGAATTTGATTTAACTAGTTGCATTACACAGGTTGCTCACACTGAAATCTATGACATGTTAACTGCATTTGCTCAAGTTTGTTTCATGGCTCCTCATATGTGCCATTTGAATATTCCTCACCTACAGGTGTTCCATTTGATAACCGATTTGTGCTGGTGGAATTTGAATATGGAGAATATGTGGAAACAGGGCTGCCTCGTGAATATCGGTTTTGTGCAGCAGTGCTGCTCCTAGTAACCTTGCGACGAGCCTTTCTACCCTGTAGCAGAATGTACAAGGAGTTTTATCATTTATAAGGTATGACATTTCAGGAAATAGCACATCAATGACAACTGCAGTAACTCAGCCACCATTAGAGTTTGTCATCAAGGATGCGACCAGAATATTATACTATATTAAAATAAGAAAAATATATAGCATAGGGTATTTAGGGATGACAATTACCTTTCCCATGCAGTTCTCCAAGTGAGGAGCAAACCTCCCAGCCACAATTGATTTCCCACAGTTCATGCATTCAAATATTTCACTGGCAACAGAAGGGTGTGTCCGTCCAAATATATCCACCACATACTTGTTATTTGTTTCTCCACTGTTACTAGGATCGGCTACCCTTGCTCGAGCTTGTGCTGACAACCTCAATTCTTTTTCCTCTTCCTCCAAGTTATGATCAAGGCCCAACTTTGCTATCCGGTGACACTCGGATGCAACATCAACAATTATAGAATCCAGGAGATCCCCCAAAAAATGAGATGAAAGCTGCAAAGACAATCCATCCAAACAAAAGAATTACATTGAATTATCAGTAAAGCATCCCTCAAAAAATGAACTGTGACATGAATAGGCGACTACTTAAGGATTGATTCTTCAGTTTTTCGTTTAAAAGAGGTAAAAGGTCAACTGAGTGAACAGAGTTACCTGAGTATTATCTTCATTTGGTCCAGACATGAATGAGTTATAAAGAAATAATTTTAGCTCTGAATAATAGCTCACAATTCAAGCTTCAATTAGAGCCGGAAGAACCAACCGATTACACTGCAACCTGATATAATATATGAATTAAAGATAGAACAAAGTGATTAAATTTCATCAAATAAAAAAAAAAGCATATCCAAATGTACTAAATAAACTGCTATTATTAACAATAAACTCACATAAACACAAATTCGCGAAAAGGAAAATAAATTTTTAATTATGAGTAAAGCGAATCATCAATTTGGAAAAATGATAATCAAACTTAATAGATCATCGGCAATCATTTTGATCATAAAATGTTAAATTCAACAAATTTAGTCGGCAAATATTTTTTTATCACAACTTCAAATTCCCTAAGCTCCGTAAATGCAGATTTAATTCGAAATATTCAAATATCTTCAGCTAAATTTTACTAAATAATTACTTAATTATATAAATCGATTAGCAATTTAGGGTCGCCAAATTTAATCTTCGTCAATCAACAGAGCAAAAATCACATTAATTCACAGATTAATATATTTCCGCTTCGATTGTTAAAAATAAAAACAGATCTCCCCTTCAGATTTGAGAGAAAGAGAGAGAATGCTTACGTGTTGTAAATCGATTCTACTCTAGAGAAAAACGCTTTGTTTTCCTTCACGACTGGAGTCTCCCCAGCGACGGAGGAGAGAGGTTAGAATCCAGTGTATCTCTTTACATTGGGGCATATGAGTAATAGCGGTTAAGATGGAATTCGATTTGATTATTTTAAATTTTAATTCTAATAAAATAAAAAAATTTAATTCTAAATATAATAATTTTAAATCGATATTTATTTATTTATTTTTTTTTTCTCAGCCGGGCTAATCCTCGTGGAGAAAATCAGTGTGGCATACTAAAATTTGCAATCACAATTGTCAATCTCAAGAGATTGTACTGCCCAACTTGGAAAAGGTGGAAGTGGGCCGACTGAAGAAAGAGATTGTCTATTTGGTGGGCTAATGGCCCACCTACGCCCACTGTTCATTTGCAAGGCTAGCCATCATCAACCCATGTGTGACAATGACCCATTAGCCACCGAATCTTCATAAAATCTATTTTTTTAATAATTCGTATGATTATATCATATAAAATATTATATTTATATTATATTTTATGTAAAAAATATTTATTATAATTCATGTTAATATAAAAATAATTAATTTTATTAAATTTATTTATATTTTTTAAAAATTTTAAATCTTATTATTATCGTATATTTTATTAATATCATTTTTATATTATATCATTATATTATATTTTAAATTATCAGTACGATTTACTTTTTTTTTTTTCTTTTCGTAAAAATTTCCTTCCTTTTTAAGAAAAGAAAAACTTATTATAATCAATAATTTAAATTAATACCTTTCCGTCATGTCACATACTAAAATTCTCTCTCTAATTTGAAAGTGTTAAAGAAATTTATGCATGTGGTGAAGCATACACAATACAAACAACACAATTAGGAGGAAGAAGAAATTTGAACATGATTTCTTTTTTCAAATTCCAGTGTGATTAATACCATTTTTTGTTATTTCTTTTACCTTTAGTTAAGTTATTTGTTTTTTTTAACAATGAAAAGCATGTACTAATAATTAAATTAAATACTCTTATGCAATTAAACATGAAGATTTAAGATATTGTATAAAAAATAATAATTGATGTATTGTTAGTGAAATTTTAACTTTACAAATGGTATTTAAAAAGTAAAATATATCTATTTTTTAATTATTTTTTTATTATTTTCATTTACCCTTAATACTTACTTCATCGTCATGCTATTAGACTTGTTATACAATATAACATATTATTTTTCAAAAGGTTTTTTGAGCAAACTATTGTTTCTAAATTCGTATAATTTGAGCTCCAAATTATTGAGGTAAATGAGACTAAGGAACCGATGAAAAAAAAAAAGCCATCATCACAACTCACAAAGTCAGGGCTTGTGTTTATATCAGTCATTCCTGCTCCAAAAATTGGCAGCAAAAAAGAAGACAAAGGAATAATAGTAGGTTATCTGGTTCATATTATGCAATTAGTCATATGTTTCATACGATGAAGGAAGATATAAAAACAAGGAGATGGAAAGGCTCGACTCAAGCAAGCTTTCGATTTCACCATCAATGGAGCCTTCAAGTTCGCAACCACCAACAGAGCTTTTCCTGTCGAACGACAGGCACTTTGCTTTGCATGGCGAAATTTGGTTACTTGTTGTCATCCTTCTTTTTGCTCTCTTCTTTGCATACATCCTTTTTCTTCCTCGCCTTAGAGGCTGTAGAAGGCCAGAGTCAGAAGCTTCAGGCTCTGATAATATTCCACGGCGGAGGAACTGTCCTTTAATGTCTTTGAGGAAGCGGAGGAGAGCCGATGAGGATGAAGCAGAGGCAGAAGCAGAAGCAGAAGCGGAAGCGGAAGCGGAGGAACAACAATATGCAAGTCGAATCAATGAGAAATTTCCTTTGTAGAAAGTGTTTGCTATTGTTTCCAAGTGTTGTTTTAGATTGAAAGGATTGCTGCTAACTTGTGGCCGTGAGTTTCTCGTTGTTATTTTATTCTGTCGGTCCTAGAAAACCGGAGATGGATCAATCTCAATTCTCACCTTGCTTTGTAAAATTGTGTAATCCTCAAATGGTGTTTCTATAATTGGAGATATAGTAATATTTTTCAGTTTTAATTCTCAGTTTTAATAACTATATATCGTCAGTTGTTTCTTAATAATTGAACTGGCCAATGAGGAATAGACCAATTGCTTCCCCTTCCCTTTGTCATTTTCTAATGGTGAAGGGCGGTGGATGTGATCGATGGACAAGGGGACAACGTATTAGTTTTGAATGTTTACAAATGGGAATAATTTGATGCAACATTGTGTAAATACATGCTACCATCTCATACATGGAGATGGAGGGTAATTAGGGCTGTGTCACCAGTCATCATCTCACAGCACTAGGCACCATTCAATGCCATTCATGTTGACTTGTCGGTTGTGCACAGGGACATTGGTTTAACACCAAGCCTAATTAGGCAAATTTTTACACTTAATTCTAATGCCAATCATGGCTTTGAAAAGGATGTTTACCACAAATTTAGATAACGAAAACAGGACATTAATGGATAAGAAATGAAGCCTCAAATGTTGCCATTAAAATACAGATTTTAGTTTCCCAGTCATCAGTGGAATCATCATTGTCAGAATTTCAAGAACTTTATTTTACAGTAAATCACAACTTTTTTTTTTATAGTAAATTGGCCCCGAATAAACCATGCTCCTAAAACTAGCTTCTGCCATCCGTAGCATACAGGTTACGGTGATTCCTGAATCAGAAAACAAGAGTACCGACCAATATTGATGTTAATGTAACTGTGAGGTTGTCATCAAGCTCAGTACTAATCGGAAGTGACTCCACCAGGGCTGAGGCAAGAGACACAACCAAGAAACCCAAAACAATCTCCCAACTCTCTTGAATATATCCAAAGTAGGAAAAATAATACATGTACCTGTTACAACATTGCTTAGTATATATTATTCTGCTACATCATGTTGAGGCTTAACCAGAAAAGAATAAACAGGGGAAAAGAGAAAATCCAGACAAGACTTACCCAACAGAGGTCAAAAAACCAGCGGTTGCCATTGCAACACTACCAGCTATGGACTTGTTCCTATTGTAAGGAAGTTTCTGTCTACCAAATCGCCTTCCCACAACATCTGCCAAACCTGAAACAGATAAAGATGGTAAAGTTTGCACATCTCAGGCACTTTGATGAAAAGCACTGTAGAAATTCAAAACAAATTAGCCCATTCAGTGTTTGTAAGAAGTACTTGAAATGTTCATCTAGAGCAGCTTTAACTCCTGCTAAATCAGTACCGCAGAAAAGAAAAAATAAATGACTCAGTTAACTGTTACCATCTCCAGCACAAAGGTTACATATTGCAGCAATTGCGATAGGTGAAGTCCTCCAGTAGACCGCACAAGCCAAAGTAATTGTTGTAGCATAATAAAGTGGTCCTTTAAGAAGTTCCCTGATGTAGAGACTAAGTTAATGACAAATTGAAGAAATCATAAAAAAATTGATAAATAAGAAACAATTCAAAAAGGGAAAGTAACACATTATTCTACCCTTTTCCATGCCCTTCCTTGTTTCAAGACCACTCATGCGATATCTAGAATGGTATACAACTCCATTTTCAGATTGCTTGATCAAATAAGAGGAACTTATTGAGATACTTTACATAAACAATGTGATGGATTTAACTTGGCTGATTAAGTAAGTTGAAGTGCCAAACTGATCTCCTAATGTGAAGCAAACATCGACCAAGAGAAAGCTACTAGCAACTAGAAATATTCCTGATATTTGTATCATAGAAATCAAAAACTATGTTTTCATCTTCATTCTAACCTGTAGTCTCCATATCTGCTCATTGACTTCACGGTGGCTTCATCTTTCCATATTCCAGAACCTATAAGAAGCATTCGTATAATATTGACGCCAGGAGTAATAGCTGCTAAAATTGCTCCCCGATATCCAGAACTGTAATGGTAAGTATTAGCTATTTGATTAGGCAATATATGGTAAAACAATATAAAGCTGCCTCAGTAAGGAGACTACCTGAATAATGGCCAGCAAAGCATGAAAACTAGCCCAATACTTATATGCACAAGCTTCCGATTCAGTTTCTGAACAAGAAAAGAAAGAAGTTATGAAAACTTTACAATAGAACAAAGTTCTGTTAAGAAAAAGCAGTTTTATGTTATGCCTCTTTCTAACAGACCGGTTTACTTAGGAACAAACTGTTTACTAGTAACATCATAGCATCGTTTCTAGACAGATATTAACAGACACGAATTCTTTACTCAGTGTCTCATTTATCATTTATATTGAATGCAAGATCAGTCATAAAGCAGTAATCTTATCCCCTGAAACAATGAAAATCTTAATAAATAAAACATTGCCATCCAGAAATCAATACGAATGAAAAGTTGACTAATTTGAAATAGTTCATACAAATTGTAACTCCAAAAGTACACAGATAACTGAAGTATACGATCCTAATCCTCAACTTCAGTATCATTTCATCTGTTTTTCCACCAGAAATGAATAGCAAGATTTGTTAAATCCATTCCAAAATTATTAGGTTTATCCAGCACTCTTTTAGAAGCAAGAAAAACATTTCCATTACACAGAGCAAAGAAATAGGCAACTGAGCTAAGATGAGAATTTAAAAATTAGCTTCTAGCTCTCATTTCCGATAACAAACAAGATAAAAATGCAATTATAGGAAGCTATTTTCCTAAGGATTGAGCCCATAGGGACGACCAGTACTTGTACAATTAATTGGTACATGGTCAAACTCTCACTACCCAAGTAATATTTCAAAGGGTTTGATTAATATTTGATCACAGAAAAGGAAAAAGGAAAAAAAAAAAAGAAAGAAGCTACTACTAATGGCAATAACGCCGTGTTTGGGAGCATCAATTTAAAAATTAGAATCGGAATCAGATGGAAATGGAATTTATCCAAATCCAAAAATCTCGACTTTGATGATGCAACCAAAAGAATGCATCTTTAGGCGATAAAAGCAAAGCGGCTAACTGACCTGATCAAGGCCTCGTTTGGCAGTCACTTGCCAGAGTAAAAGAAATGCGAATATAGAGCCGCAGCAAACCACGGCGGCAAACAAGTCAGAAACCACCGGATTTTTAGCTAACATTATTAACCACCACTAATAACTCCCTCAACTTCTTAGCTAAAATGAAGATCTCTCTCCAATAACATAACAAAATAAAAAACTCGTAAGCTGCCAAACATATTTGCTTCTTAGCTGGACAGCATTATCCACGTCAACATTTGACGACAAAACCGAGGAAACCAATCAACGAAGAAAATGGAAATACGTGTTGGAGTTTTGACCTGGTCAAAGAGGCGACGTTTGGCGGTCTCCTCCCAGACACGGAGGACAGAAAGAGCGACGGAGCCGGAAAATAAGGTGGCGCAAATGTCGGAAATTACCGGATTTTGAGGAAATATCATGGCGGCAGAAGGAGGCCTCGGATTCCGGCGGAGTTTTCGGGGGTTTGTTAATCGAAAAGTGAAACGGTTAGTAAAATTGTTGCAGTTTGTGGCGGAGAAGGCGAGAGAAAATGAAGAGAAAGCAGGTGAAACATGAATGTCAAAGATGAAAGAGCTAAGCTTAGGAGCAAGCTTGAGAATTGTTGAAGGGAAGAAAGGAACAGCTACAACAGCCATTTGAAGATTATTATTATTTTCAGGTAAAGTTAAAATTTGACTAAAATATTTTTTTTGCTTTCATCTTTGACATTGGTGGTTTTCAGTTTTGAGCGTGGCAAGGCTAGTGGACCAGAACCCTACCGAGTTTCTTTTTTTTTGAGCAAAAACTGTCATTTGCTAGTGTTAGCATCCCGTCGGGTTTGAATTGAGTTTTGCTTGCTCTAAATTTAATCCGGTATTATATGTTATTAAATTTAAATCTAATTTTACTCAAATTTTTTTTATATTCGAATTTGATTTCAATTCAATATTATATAAATTATATATTCGATTCGAAATTAATAAAATATTATTTTTTAAATATAAATATTTAAAAATATCATTATATAAATATACATAAATAAAAAATTAAATAATTAATTAAAAAATAATTTTTTATATAATATCGGATCGAGTTGGGTTAGGTTTACTTAAAATTCAAATCCGATCTGACCCCGATTATTTTTTAATCTTACTTGACCCAACCCGAAATTTGAATTAAAAAAAAAAATCGACATCATAAGATCGGATCAGATCGAAATTCATCGAGAACGGATTGAATTACCGACCCTACATTTGCTTATAATATAAAATCTATAAAATTGAAAATGATATATATATAATTTTTAGTATGATTATATATAATATTAAAATTTAATTTAATTGATTTATATAATATTTTTTAAAAAATATTATTTGATAAATTTAAATTTTAATTTTAATAATTTTAATTTTTCTATTATCATATTATGACTTTTTTGTATAAAAAACTATAAATGTCATAATTATTTTTTATGAGAATTTATATAATATATTCATATATAGATTAGTCGTGAATTTATAAATTTAGATTAGATGAACATTTATAAAAAAAAAATTTAGTTGAGAAAGTTATGGATAAATGTCATAGATATGCCACTTAAACATTAGTTTAGATGACACGAAATCTGGGACAACTCCTAGAAGCTATGGACCTTAGATGCGCATAATATGTTTTTTCCAAATGAATATTTAGATAGGGATCGAGGAAATTAAAAATGGATTTAAAATTTAAAAAAAAAGTCACAAATTATTTTAACGCGACAAAGGCACAGAACATATTTACATCAATCAAAAACAACAAACAGAATGTTCGCACGTTTTACGAGGATCTAATATCCTATTATGACATATAATTTTTTATAAATTATATACAACATATACTATATTACAATATATATATAGATATTTGATAAAATTTATTAAATAAATATTTATATGGATAACTCTTTTAGATAACCCATATATAGATTTTAAAAAATATAATTTTTTTACTTATAAATTATATAATGTTAAATTTATTCAAATATCAAAATTATTCAAATTATAATTATAAATCAAATCAATTTAGATGTATGTTATTTAAAATTAACAATTTGAAACATATATAATCAAAATCAATTTTCTAATAATTCATATATATAATTTAAATATATATCTTTTTATCTTTTAAAATTAATTAAATAAATAAAAATATTTAAAAATTAATAGTTATCCAAAATTAATTTTCTAATAATTTTATGTTATTTATCAAATAAATAGAAATATTTAAAAATTATTAGTTATCTAAAATTAATTTTTTTATAATTTAGATATATATAATTTAAATATGTATTTTTTATTTTTTAAAATTAATTTTTAATAATTTAAATATATATCTTTTTAAATTTAAAAATATTAAATTTAGTTTCATCTTAGTAGATTTCAAAATAATCTTTAATTATTCAAAAAGACCAAATTTAATCCGTTGATAATTATATATATTTATATATATTTTTAAAAATAACTCATTCTTTAACATAAATTTTATTTGGTGTTTAGTTTTTCACTTTTATTTGCACATTTTTTTTTTAATATTACAAAGTGTAAGTTATATAAATATTTTTAAGTGTTTACGGTATCTTTAACTTTGATTCTTTTTTTTTTTTTTTTGGTAAGTGTTTATGGTAAGTAATTTGATTTTAACTTTTATTCTTTCTTTTTATATATTTTAAAATTTTGATTTTTTTTTTCTTTTGTAGGTATTTACGGTAGGTCATTTGTTTTTAATTTTAATTCAGTTTTATATATTCCAAAGTGCAGAATTATAATAATATTTATTTTTATATCTTTTGGTACTGTACGTAGACATTTTATTTTTACCTTTGAACTTTTCATTTAATCAGGTAATTTTTTTTCTTTTAATTCAGTTTTAACTTTTACTTTTTTTACAATTATTTTAAATCTATTTATAACCCACTTATGATAATGTATTTTTTATTGTGATCTAAAAACTAGCAAAAATTAATTATTAAGAAAAATCCACCAAATAAAGTTTCATGAACACATTGTTTAGACCACATACATGCCTAAAGTTTTCAATAAGATACAATCTTATTTTTTGGTACTACACTTGCACTAATGGATAATTTCTAATTTTATAGTATTTATCAACTAAATAAAAATATTTAAAAATTATTAGTTATTCAAAATTAATTTTTTTAATAATTTACATATATATCTATATTCTATAATATATATCTTTTTATCCAATAAAATTAATTTTCTAATAATTTTATGGTATTTATCAAATAAATAAAAGTACTTCAAAATTATTAGTTATCCAAAATTATTTTTTTTAATAATTTAGATATATATAATTTAAATATATATCTTTTTATCTTTTAAAATTAATTGTTTTAATAATTCAGATATCTATCTTTTTCAATTTAAAAATATCAAATTTAGTTGTCTTAATAAATTTTATAATAATCTTTTATTATTCAAAAAGACAAAATTTAATAACTTGATAATTTATATAATATATATCTTTTAAAAATAAGTTATTATTTAACATTAATTTTATTTGATATTTAGTTCTTCACCTTTATTTGCATCCATTTTCGTCATATATTACAAAGTGTAAGTTATATAAGTATTTTTTTTTTCTTTTGTATGTGTTTATGATTGGTCATTTATCTTTAACTTTGAATTTTTTTTATATGTTATAAAATACAAAGTTATAGTAACAATTATTCTTATTTTTTAAAAAATATGATTCGTAGACTTTTATCTTTACTTTTAACTTTTCACTCAATCAACTCAATTCAACTTTAACTTTTACTCTTTTTTTTTTTTTCAATCTTTACAAATCTGTTTAATTGTAATGCACCTATGGTAATTTTTTATATTTATTATGATATACAAACAAATAAGAAAAAAAATTTCAATAAGTTTGTTTAGTATTAGAGATAGGCAGACCACTTTCTACTTGCTAGAACACAAATTAAATCTATGAAAAAATGATTTCAATAATGATTGGAAAATAATTAAAACAATGCTAAAAATAACTAAGATATTCAACCTTTCAATTTCAATTCTCTCTCTTGAGTTAGAGTTAGAGTTGTTGTTTTATTCTTACAATTTTGATATTATCATTCATTGTAATGTGGAAGGTTTGGCTTCTGCAATATGGTTTATGTTGTCATTAAGTGATATATATACATACATACATATATATATATGTATGATTTTATGCTATTCTTCTTATTGTATTACATTACGTTTTTTTTATATAATTGAATTTTTATCTTATCACAATAAATTCACTTTATTTGTTTTTAAATTTGGATAAATATAAATATAAAATATATATTATTGTAGATAAAAATTATGTAAAGTGAAGATATGTCATTTCTTCTTATTTAAAATTTTTTATGACAAGTTAGTCAAATATATAGATTTTATGTGTTATAAACTTTAAAATTTTGAATATAATTTTTAAAAAATATTAACTTATATGCATAATAAATTATTTTGTACATTGCATGGGTCACAATCTAATTTTGTATTGACTAACATACTATAACCATGATGAACATATAAACTACAAAAATTAGCAATCTTGTAGCTTAGAAAACATAATAATCTTACCTAGTTCCATCTACTACTTTGTTTACCTTAAAGATTGTTTGATAATTATTTTTGCTGCTTACTTTTTGTCTCCAAAAAATAAAAACAAAATGAGTATTGAGATAAAAAAAAACTAATTTTTTTATTTTTTAGCACCAAAAAAATAAGAAGTATTTTCTTCAACAACTTATATATTGAACAAAAATATTAGAATTTGGTGTATGTGATTTTGAATGTATACTCTAACATATATATAAGTCTACATAAATTCAAGATATTTGTACCTTATAAATAATTTGATGAGATGTTAAACTTGTCACTTAATGACTGGATTCTCTCTCACTGTTTAGATTGCCAATAATCTTTCAAATCTTGGTCAGGTCAATAACAAAAAAAAAAATTTCAACAAATGTTTTTGTAGGCATAGATATAGAAAAATAATAGGTTTGAACAAATTATACCAAAGCAAGGTAGTTGATATCATGCTTAATGAAATGCTTTAAAAACATCAATCGTTTGAAAAGAAAAATATACATATAGTATGAAAACATAATATATTAATCTGGATGAAGTTTTTTTGTATATTAAGTTTCAAGATCACGGAAACTTTCATTTTTATTCATACATAGATAAATCTCAAACAAATATGAAGATATTAGAATTCGGTGTATGTGATTTTGAATGCATATTTTAACACATATATAAGTTTTATAAATGATTTGATGAGATGTTAAACTTTTCACTTAATGACTGGATTCTCTCTCACTGTCTGGATTGCCAACAATCTTTCAAATTTGGTCAAATCAATAAAAAAAATTAAAAAAAAAACCTTTCAATAGTTGTTTTTGTATGCATAGATATAGAAAAATAATAGGTTTGAACAAATTATACCAAAGCAAGGTAGTAGATATCATGCTTGATGAAATGCCTTAAAAACATCAATTGTTTGAAAAGAAAAAGATACATATAGTATGAAAACATAACATATTAATCTAGATGAAGTTCTTTGGTATATTAAGTTTCAAGATGATGAAAACTTTCATTTTTATTCAAAGATAGATAAATTTCAAACAAAATGTGTGCTAAACTCAACAAAATAGTTAACATTGCTTACTCTTGTCAATTATCAATATATTCATGATGCAAAACTTATAAACATAGAATCATATAGTGTAAAAGACCTCCAATAGGTATTTTGACAAACATCGTTAACCCATAAAAAAT